GAGTGAGAGAGAGAGAGAGAGAGAGAGAGAGAGAGAGAGAGAGAGAGAGAGAGAGAACGACATAAATTCTTCATCACAATAAGACATTGCCCTTAACGAGAAGAAACATTTAAGAACATTACTTTCTCCAAGAGCAGGACAATGAGGTGCCGTGTCTTTTCGACCAGACTTTGCTTGTACGCCTGACGCAGCTCCTCCATAGCCCAGTGACTGCGCATGAAGCTAGGAGAGAGGACGATGATGGTGTGCCGACTTGCCTCTATGCTCTCCACAATGTTGTCGAAGATTGTCTTGCCTGGGATAAAGTCTCTCTGAAAAGGACATATCAATTTCTCATCTTGATAATGAAATGTTGTTTCAACGTAACGACGTCTAAACGTTTTGCAAACTATGAACACAACAGCTCTTTGAAAACATTAGAACAAACAGAAGGGGGTCACATTTTATTCACAAGAATCAGTTATTTTAGAAGTTTCATTTAATAGTATCATATTTCATGGAAATTGTTTTGAATGTTGGCTGGGATTCATTTTGAACAGATTCTGGAAAATTGATAAAACATGAAATGGTCGACTTTTACTCTAGGATAACTGATTTATGTATATATCCAAAGCTATTTTTTTTTCTTTTTCGCTTATCTTTATTCTCATTTTCATCGCCTACTACTCTCTTTCTCACCCTCAGATAGAAAGTGCCTCCAACCTCTAGTCCACACCCACCTCCCCTCTTCCCGAAAAGAAGAATATCTAAATATGAATAGTCTGAATACGCTTGTATTTTTTATGGCAGGAAAACGATATAACAACACAATTGAGGAAAAAAACACAAGAGGATTTAGTGCGTTTACCAGATACACACGGGCTTCATACCTGGTGTATACACAACTTGAACGTCTTTCTGTTGGGGTCAGTGTGGTTAACATCTCTGTGGCCATGACCTTTGAGCTGGAAGTCATTCACAGAGAAAATGTTGTCCCTGTTCTCCAAATATTTCACGAGATTTTCGAAAACCCATGTGTCATCCTCGTTGCTGTACGAAACAAACGCGTCGTAAGTTTTTGAATGTCTGGCGTCGTCCGAATCACAGGGAAGTCTGATGTGTAGCCGTGTGTAAAGCAGGATTCTGATCTCCACTTTAAACTTCAGAACGAATATGATCCCTAGAATCAGCAACACCAAAATGACGCCAAGCGCTATCAAAGCTTCGGCGTTTGATTCCATCTCCGGACAAGACAGCATGTCTACGCTGAGCTTGTGGAGGGGATTGCCGGCGAGGTTCATGGGACTGGCGCAGCGGAGGTGTTTGACGTACTCGTATTGTGCTAGCCTGCCGGCAAACGCCGTTGGGTTGTGGAGATACGACAAGAATGAAGACAGTTCACACCCGCAGTGGATCGGGTTGTCACGGATGTCCACGTGGAAACCCTCCACCTCAGCCCACTTCTGGAGAACGTCCTTGCTGAGTGTGGTGATGTTGTTGTGACGAAGGTCAAAGGTTACCAGCTTTGCTCCGGGTCGAGGTGGGTAGTTGGCTACCTCAAGTTCTGAGATGAGATTGTGGGAGAGGTCGAGAAGCGTGAGAGCCGCGAAGTGTCTGCGCCACTGGGACAACTCCCTGGGAACAGCTCGGAGCATGATGTTGGAAAAGTTCATCACCTCTGAGGAGAATCGAATAAGACAAATATGTGAGGCAGCCTAGTGTAATCAAGTGCTCGTCAAAATAATGGAAGTGACGAAAGTGGCATTTTCCCGCAGGTTTTGGAATTTTTATCGAATTTTTGTTCTTTACTCCACCACGTTTCATGTCCATTAAAGAACAGATTTCTTTGTGGATTGTACCGAAAAGTGTCAATTAAAGGCATAACAACTGTAAATTTTCTGTTTCCACGGACTCTCAATCTAAGGAAATAACCAAACTTTGGCGGGCATTATCTCGCTAATTGTACGTCTGAGACCAGGCGACCCCCACCTATTTCATTACAAATATTATCTTGATTTCGACGACCCATATGTTATACGATGATACTTTTGGCCCCGATTAAATTAGAAAAATTACCCCATAGCCAAACTACTTTCACAGACTGGAAACAAACATGTTTTTAAACATCCTGCGAAATAGGATCGATTTGGTATACATGTACTTTATAAGAGCAGGATTTGTATTCATGATGTAAAAACGCATATCTCCCCCTCCCTTCCCCCTCCCACCACCCACAAACTTGCCTTTTGAGCCAGCATATCTTTTGGAGAATTTCTAATTTATGATACTTGTATAGGGGGGATAGGTGGGAGAGAGAAAAGAGAGACTGAGAGGGACAGAGAGAGAGGGAGAGAGAGAG